ATTAAAATTTTTAAAAGATATTGAATTAAATATTATTCATATCACGTATATAATATATGATCGATAACATGTATATGATGTAATTTACATTAATAATTCAACCACAACTTATAAAAATGAATCAATATATAAAAAATTAACAAATTAAAATTTTATACATAATAACGTACCTAAAAAAAGACTTCAAACACCTATATAACATATGATCGATAACATGTATCTCATCTAATTTATATTAATGATTTAAACACAACATATAAAAAAGAATTATATAAAACAAACTAAAAAATTAAAAGTTCTAACATAATAAGGTGCCTCGAAAAAATGGTAAAAAGACCTTAAAAAACAAAAAAACGTTAAAGCTTTTTTTTTCGTTGTGAATTTTGTATGTGAATCTACTCAAAAGAGTGATCTTTTTATAGTAATTTTTTTATTAATTGCTTATTAAACATAATATGTAAGTTATGAAACCATTGAAAAACTAAGGTGCTGTTTGTTTTTTCGAAGTGAAAATGTCTGAAGTCTGCGGACCACCTCTGCAATCCTCTGTAGTAGAAGAGGGGGACCAAACGGCCGCAACATGTAATAAAAAGTCTTTGTTTTTAACCTCTATGGACTGCTCCAATAAGTTAAAGTAAGGTGTGAGGATGTTTGAAGCAGAGGGTCCAGTGTTGCGCCACACAACACATGCATAACAGTTTTTAAGTCAAAATCTTCTGAAAAACAAACAACTGCGAAGGGCCAAGTGCTGCACGTTTGTTGCGCGACACAACAATAAGTGGTCAGAAGTGGTTTTTTAGAAAAAGAAAACAACACCTAAATCATTATTAAGAAGGCTTTTGAGTGGTATTAGTTAAAAGATGGGCTTTCAAATGAATATGGTTTGGGTAAAAATGTCTCTTTATAGGATAGTAGGCAAACCCCGAGTTAAAATAATAACTTTTATGAAATTGTGATATCATGTTTATACATGAAAAACCAATGTCAGTAGCAACAAAAACATATAGTCTCAAATTATTGGTAATGTCTACCATTAATCGATGATTTTATAAACCCGATGAGTTAAAAACTCTTTAGGTCGATTAGATCCTTAACAGGTAAAACCATAAAACTAATAAAGACTGAACGCACAATGAATCAAACTGATGTCGAATGATTAAAATATAGTCACACCTCAGAAGAGCTCGATTAAGAACTTCTACTGTAGAGGTGCGCTAGGGTTTACAATACAATAAATGAGATAATAAAAAACGTGCATGATAAGGATGCATGCATGCACCTTATATACTAAACCCTAAAAAGATAAACACGGTTGCACAGGCCCAAACCCTTGACTAAACTGGACTATACACTAAAGCCCAATGACGCAACTCTTAAGGTTTCAACAATCTCCCCCTTTGCGTCAATTGAGGCGAGATTCACTTCGGTTGATTAATAGTGGTTCGCTTGACAACCTTGAACAATTTTGGGATGATGGCAAGAAGAGTTTGACGAAAAGCCAAGTACCACCGAATCATATCTGAAAACATCTTCTTATCAGCTTCACTATTCTGATCGCACTTGTGTATGATGTTGAGAATATGCTTCAAGCAGGAATTGGAGACCAGGTGTTTGTCGGCAAGAGCGAACAGGCATTTTTGACCTTCGCCCCTAAAGAACATAACTGTTTGAAACTGTGGGTCGATTTTACCCTTCACCATCAAATTAATATCGCGTGCTTTCCCAATTGGCTTAAAAGTGGGCTTCTTTCTTATGCAAGAGGCAATTTCCTGATCCATTTTTGCGACTTCATGAATATAACATACCAACATACGCTTGATATGATCTAAAATAAGCTCATACTCCTTTTGATTAGTCAGAAAAATGTTAATCAGGAGAATCCAGTCATGAGGATTCAAATTTGGCAAATCAGCCAGGGAGATCATATGAACCGAGCTATCTGAGCCTCGGGTCACTTTAAACTTAATATTGATAAACTTCCCTGCTGGAGTGGGTTTTAACACCTTGACTGTAGTGATCTTCTATTTACTCCAAGTCAGGTATTGAGGCTGAGAGAACTCAAAGTAATATTCAAGCAAGTCTCGATCGACCTTTGGGTTAGGAGAGGGAATAGCATCTGTTGACTCAAAACAATGAAAAATGAATGCCTTTCGAGTGATTGGCATATCAAATTGAGAATCCTTGGAATTCTCAAGATCGAACGAAAGAACCGGTTCAAGCCAATGTATGCTTGGAGCTTCAATCACCTCCTTCAGAAGTTTTTCCATAGTCCATAGAGGGAACATCGATTTTCTTTGTTTTAACACATTGTTCGCTTCTTTTTGTTTCCTCTCCTTATCAAATTCTTCCTTAGATTTACGAACTTTTTCTTCAATCTCTTGAGCATTAGGCTTGATTTTGAGATTCTCGGTTTTGGAAGCTTTTTCTTCTAGACCAGTCAAATCATCAACTTCATCTTCATCATCATCTATTATATTCTTCCCTTTATCCTTCCTACTGCCCGAAGCTTCATTACCCTTCGGTTCAATAGCTACTTTCGGTTGTAGAGGTTTTGGTTGTTGAGGTTCGCTTGTTGGAGGTGGCTGGGACGGATTCTTATTTCCTTCTCCCCTTGGTTCGGAGGGATAACAGACTCCGGAACACCCTCAATCATGC